TTTACAGTACCAATGAAAACTGAATCTGAAATTTAAATTGATGCTAAAAAAGCTCTCCCAGGATTTCCAAAAATTTCAACATTCTCCAGTGATCAAATATTGTGAAACATCCTATGAATTAATGTTATCATAAGACTGGGCCATAGTGCAACCATTGACACTCAAGATGAACTCTGTTTAATTATGATACCATTGAAAGCTGAGCCAAAGAGTATCTTATGGGAAAATTCTGTAGTGCAGAACAAGAATGTGATGAGACTATATCAGAGAGTGGGGTGTGGCCTGTGATGCACTTTGAAAAAAATTATGCACTCTGAAAAAAAAATTCAAAGTGTATTAAAATTTGGATAAGGTAAAAAAAAAATAGTCTTGTTTCCTGCTACCCAACCTAACCATTTCTTTTGCACCCAACCCTAATTTTTTTTTTTTAGTTTTGAAAAAAAAATAAAAAAAGTTTTCAGAATCTAAATACGGACTTTCATAAAACACTACTCGCCAAACATCATGAAAATTAGTTTTAATTTTAAAAGACATGACCTGTGACATATGTTCAATTTGATCATGTATTTAAGTTTATATCCAAAAAATGCTGTCTGAAAAAAATAAACAAACAAAAAAAATGATCTTGCTACCTACCTAATAGTAGCCTTTTTTTTCAAGTTGGTAGCAGGAAACAAGACTATTATTATTTTTTTTTTACCTAAAATCAACACACTTTGAGAAAATGTTTCAACAACAAGAGCAACAAATTTGGAACAAAATCAACACACTTTCAATTGAATTTTTTTTTTCAATTAGTGCGTTAAGAGTCACAGTAAATCAATTTCTTTTTATCATTGAGGCACTAAAACTCACTTTTGAAATATATGTTTAAAATAAAATTTAGGGACTTAGATTTTAATTAATAGACAAAATTATTTCCATGTATTTCTTTTGAAAAAAAAACAGTGAATTGTTCAACACTCACTGAGAAAGAGGAAAAGACATATAGAAGGACACTCATCCCATTTTTTAATATACCCCACGCAACTAGTTGCGTGAGGTATAATGTTTTTGACCCGTCCTTCAGAGTGTCAGTCAGTCAGTCCTGTTTTTTTGTCAGCGCAACTCCTCATAAACTGCTGCACAGAATTTCGTCAAACTTTGCAGGTATTTAGGACACAATATGTAGATGTGCATATAACATTGAAATTCCGATTCCTTTATTTTTTCAGGGAATTTCCTTAGGTTTTTGGCTATACCTTTTATATAGAGATGAACAGTTTGTCAACGCAACTCCTCATAAACTGCTGCACAGAATTTCGTTAAAATTTGCAGATATTTAGGACACAATATGTAGATGTGCATATTACCAGGAAATCCCGATTCCTTTATTTTTTCAGGGAAATTTCCGCATTAAAAACTTGGGTTTTTGGCCATACCTTGAATATAGAGATGAACTTTTTGTCAACGCAACTCCTCATTAAAACCGCTGCACAGATTTTCGTCAAACTTTGGAGATGTTTAGGACACAGTATGTAGATGTGCATATTACCAGGAAATTCCTATTCCTTTATTTTTCTGGAAATTTTTGCACTTTTCAACTTAGATTTTTGGCTATACCTTGAATATACAGATGAACTTTTTGTCAACGCACCTCCTCATTAAAACCGCTGCACAGATTTTCGTCAAACTTTGGAGATGTTTAGGACACAGTATGTAGATGTGCATATTACCAGGAAATTCCTATTCCTTTTTTTTTCTGGGAATTTTTGCACTTTTCAACTTAGATTTTTTGGGATATCTTGAATATAGTGATGAACAGACTTTGTCAGCGCAACTCCTCATAAACCGCTGCACAGAATTTAGTTAAACTTTGCAGATATTTAGGACACCATGTGTAGATATGCATATTACCAGGAAATTCTGATTCCTTTATTTTTTCTTAGAATTTCCACACTTTTCATGCGACCACTCTTAAACCGCTGCACAGAACTTCGTCAAACTTTGCAGATATTTAGGACACAATATATAGATGTGTATTTTACCAGGAAATTCCAAATCCTTCATTATTCTGGGAATTTTGGCACTTTACAACTTATATTTTTGGGGATATCTTGAATATAGTGATGAACAGTTTGTCGGCGCAACTCCTCATAAACTGCTGCACAGAATTTCATCAAACTTTGCAGATATTTAGGACACAATATGTAGATGTGCATACTGGAAAATCTGATTCTTTCATTTTTTCCTGGATTTTCAGCACTTTGAGTTTTGGGGGAGCGAGGGGTATGTGAGCTTGCTCACTTTTTCTTTCATTTTTAAATACCTTTCCTACCTAAATATATGACTGTTACATTTTTGTATTCATTTTTCTCTTCATATAATTAAGTTTTAAATAATGAAATAAAATAAAAAAAAAAATGAAATAAGCTTTCCAAAAAATGATAAAATAAAAGTAATTTTTGATTATGCACCCTCTTGTTTTATAGAAGCGAAGCTTAGGGTCCATGTGTCAGAAAATTATTTTCAACAAGCATACAAACTTGGACTCCATTTGTCATATATCCCTTATATACCTCTAAGACTCTAAACCTCAGATCCTGAAGTGACACCATCAATGAAAATTATCCAAATAATTATTTATAATATCTAAATTTTGACAGAATATTGCAGACTAAGTCCAGCACATTTTTTTTTCAAAGTGCATTGTTATGGTCGATTTAAACGCACATTGAAAATAAAAAAGTATCTTTACAAAGTGTGTTAACTTGGTCCCAAATTTAATGCACTTTAAAAAATTTTTCAAAGTGCTTAATATTATAAAGTGTGTTGTTACACTGTGGTTGTCAGTTTTAAATAATCTTCCAGAAAGTGATCCTCCAAGAAATAGAAGCAGAAAAAGTGGATGCGTTTTGCATAACATTTTCTGGGAAGGACTTTGACCTGATTTGAAGGATGCATCAGTATACATACATGTCAAATTTTTAGCCTTTGATGAATTGAGGTCAGAATTGTAGAGGATCATGATCATCCAAAAAAGCACAAATGAAAGAAAGTAATTAAGGATTCAAATGTGATGAGTGCAATACAAACAGACAAGTCCACATCCTAAATGAAGTCGAAGAAATGTTACAGATGCTGACGATTGAGGTACAACTCGAGGATGAGAGATATACAGTCTATACAGAGGTCAAGAATGAAGTAATAAAACACAGAATCTCCAAGGAAATTAATCTAACCCAGTTTGACCAAATGGTTTTCCCGTGGTTTCGATGTGATCAAGAAGGACATATCCAACTTGAACTCAGGATCACACAGTTAGACCGTATGAAATAAACTCACCATGGCCAGTGTTGAGAGGCCAGTATCATGGAACACATAGCCTCAGATCTAGAACACCCAGAAATGATACCAGGACTGATAGAAGAATTACATAGAGAATAATACATACCCTTTTCCATATCACGAGATGATATCACCAGACGGCCGAAGGCTATTGTGACATCGGGCATATCGCATATGCAAAAATTCTGTATTTATTACTAAGTATGTAATAAAGATTAATATCGATGGTGTGGAAACAATAGGATGTCGTTTGGAATGGACAATGCCCAGCAACATGTCAAAGAATAATGGAGGATTGTTTACAGAATTTACATCTCAACATCAGTGTTACATCTATTTGAATGATTACTAGTATATATTTTCAAGAACATTTCAAGAACATGTAGAGATCAAGAGCTGCAAACTAAGAAGCAGTATTTTGTGATGTTTAAAGCTATTCCCCTTATACACGTAGTTTTAAAATGCATTTTTTTCCGCTAAAAGGTTAAAATAATTTAAAATGATAAAAATAAAACAATTCATAATTTTCTCGATAGTTCTTATTATTTATCTTAATCTAATATTAAATGAGAGGGAGTGGGGAGACAGGGAGAGAAAGAGAGAGAGAGGAAGTGGGGAGAGAGGGAGTGGGGAAGGAGACGGGGAGAGAGAGGGAGTGGGAAGAGAGAGAGGGAGTGAAAGGGAGTGGGAGAGAGGGAGTGGGGAGAGGGAGAGAGAGGGAGTGGGGAGATAGAGGGAGAGAGAGAGGGAGAGGGAGTGGGGGGAGAGAGGGAGAGGGAGTTGGGAGAGAGAGTGGGAGAGGAGAGAAAGATAGAGAGAGGGAGTAGGGAGAGAGAGAGAGAGGGAGTGGGGAGATAGAGGGAGAGGGAGTGGGGAGATAGAGGGAGAGAGAGAGGAAGTGAGGAGATAGAGGGAGAGTGGGAGAGGGGAGATAGAGGGAGAGAGAGGGAGTGGGGAGAGAGAGAGGAAGTGAGGAGATAGAGGAGGGGGAGAGGGAGTGGGGAGAGAGAGAGAGAGAGGGAGTGGGGAGAGAGAGAGAGAGAGAGGTAGTGGGGAGATAGAGAGAGAGGGAGTGGGGAGATAGAGCGAGAGGGAGTTGGGAGATAGAGAGAGAGGGAGTGGAGAGAGAGGGAGTGGGGAGATAGAGGGAGAGAGAGAGAGGGAGTGGGGAGATAGAGGGAGAGAGAGATGGAGTGGGGAGAGAGAGAGGGAGTGGGGAGAGAAAGAGAACGGGAGGGAGGAGAGAGAGGGAGTGGGGAGAGAGAGTGGGAGAGGAAAGAGAGATAGATAGAGAGAGAGAGAGAGGGAGTGGGGAGAGAAAGAAAGGGAGTGGGGAGATAGAGGGAGAGAGGGAGTGGGGGGAGAGAGGGAGAGGGAGTTGGGAGATAGAGGGAGAGAGAGGAAGTGAGGAGATAGAGGGAGACAGAGGGTGGGAGAGGGAGAGAGAGAGAGGGAGTAGGGGAGATAGAGGGAGAGGGAGTGGGGAGATAGAGGGAGAGAGAGAGGAAGTGAGGAGATAGAGGGAGAGAGAGGTAGGGAGAGGGGAGAGGGAGAGAGAGAGGGAGTAGGGGAGATAGAGGGAGAGGAAGTGGGGAGATAGAGGGAGAGAGAGAGGAAGTGAGGAGATAGAGGGAGAGAGGGAGTGGGGAGAGGAGAACGAGAGAGAGAGAGAGAGAGAGAGAGAGAGAGAGAGAGAGAGAGAGAGAGAGAGAGAGAGAGAGAGAGAGAGCACTCGCGCTCACCGACTTGTGGGGAACTCACACCTGACAAAGGACCTTTCTTATGGGGAAAGTTCAGAATTGTGGGGAACTCTCTCGTTCCCCACAAATATGGTCATGGGGTTTTTTGAATTCTACGTGTTCTACTGATAATATTTATTCGATTTGTGGTCATTTTTTAAAAAATCCCCATAAGTCCGTAAAATTGACTCGCAGTAATTTTCTCACTGCACCGTAAAACGAATGTTTGAGGATGCTGGGAAATGTTCATTCGGAACGCAGCGGAATTTAAACTGGTCCCCATATGATACCAATTTATTGCGGGCAATGGCTGCTCCGAGAATATGTGGTAAGTAGATTTTTTATCATATTTTAAAGATATTATAGGCTGAAAACTTAATTTAACTACGTAAATCATGCATGCAGTTATTTCTTACAGACGTTCGTAAAGTAACATTTAATAATGAATGCACGTAAAACTTTGGGAAAGTTTGACCCGACCTAGACCTCGGTTATTTTTTTTTTTTTAATTGTATCATGTTTATAGGCCTAATGGCTATCCTGTAAGAACAAACTACGGATTTATATGAATTCAGCACCCCCGGGATATGGTAAGCGTTTAAGGCTTGTCCCCATTTTTTGTGAAACGCGACTATCCTCCTCATGCCCATACAAATTATGCTAGACGGTGCGACTGTCTGGTCTTTAGCTGTTTAGTGAGGCCTGTGTGGGCGAATTAATTGTAAAAGTTAATCTGACTTAAACTGTACGTGTATTTATAAACGATGTCAGTCACACACTGACTCAGTGTCAGAAATGTATCACAGAGAACTCCACCTTTTCAAAAGGTCCATTGAAATCAGTACATTTATAGATTTACGTAGCTAAAATTTCTTAGCTTGGTTAGATTATTTAACATGTTTAATTAAAAAAAGATTGATTTAGTTATCATGTTTAATTCTTCCAAAAAAATTCATTGTTTAGAAACTTGCTTGATTTAGTTATCGTTTTATTATCAAGTCATTCTTCCTACTTGTGTATATTTCTTCGCATGCGTTGGTTTGCATAGTGTCCATTTGCCTTCATTATCTTTCACCTGCACCCTGTTCTACATTCATCCTGATTGCCCTACTGAAAATATTTTCATGATTTTAGACCATCATTATCGATGTATCATAAGTATTTTTTTTTATTTTGCTAAGGCCAAGATAAATAGATAGTGTTTCCTATTTTAACCTTAGAAAAGATAGGGTAGGTAGGTAGGAAAAACATTTTTTATTTTATTTTAACTTTTTATTGGCAGGCACGCTGCCACTTTCCCCCAGGATTTCACTGTCAAAATATTTCTGATTAATATGTGTAAGATATGCATTTCTCAAACATGGAAGTGATCAAGATTGGGATTTCATTTCTAATTGTAAACTGGAATTCCGAATACTGTAATATGTGTATATAATTTGGTGCTTTCAAAATTTAGCATAATCACTGGGTTGGCATAATCATAAATTAGCGCTACACATGTATGTGCGGTGTATTGTATATATCAATATGTAAATGATTTCTTAGCAGTATTCATGAATTAGTGCATTGTTGTCTGCACCAAAGCCGCTAAAATATGAAGCCTGCATTTTAAAGTATACATACAGTAGTTTACTCATGGAAAGATATTAGCAGAAAAAATATTGAGGGTCGGCTCCTATACTTCTTAGAATTAGGCGGGGAACTAAACATGCTGAAAACACACTACTTATTTATTTAGGCCCAATTAAAATGTCTAATAAATTCATTTTAATTAAATACTTATTGTTAATTAAAGATCACCTTTTATTTTTAAAATTTGTTACAATTCAAACCTTGGCCTTGGGGTTTAGATGCTGATGGAATAAATAAGAAACAAAATCATATGTAAAAAATAACTAAAAATCCTTTTCAAAACCTCAATTACTATTGAATTATGATTGGGCATGGTATACAAAATAATGCGAATTGGAGGAAATGGAGAAACATAGTAATAACAATTAGATCAGCTTTTATGATAGTGAGCATATTAAAAATTTAAAATTGGTTATAAAATTGAAAGGTAATGTTGAGATTTTAAGATTCAATATCTATTATTCGTAATTATTTGTATTTGCTTAACTGAATTTATACCTTTTTAAATTTATTTACATATAACGATCGCGCTCAAAGTTTTGGGTCTGATAATGCTTCCTGATTTTGGTCTTTTATTTTTTTTTTAAGAAAACCATTTGATTTCTGCACCCACTCCTCCTTTCTAAAAATTTTTAATCTGCCTCTGGTAACTTTACGCTGTAAATTTCTATTCTCATTTTAATTAAATTTAAATAAATACTAACAGCACTATCATGCAATTTCAATGACTATCATTTAAGGTATTGATTCAGTTTTCTGTCATTCCTAAAAATAAGTTGTACTGTATCGTTGATTTTTTGCATATAAAACAGTTTCTGCTCATCAAACATCCACGAGAAAGTGTTCTGTTTCGCAGTTATTGTACGGTTGATTTAAAAGGGAAAGCTCTCTGGGCCATGTCACAAGAAGGAAAAAAGTAAAATATTTTTCATACCTACCTACCCACTGTTAACAATATGGTTCAGGAAAGGGCATACATTAAGTCTTAATTTTGGCATGCCGCATGGGGTCAAAAATTACTATTGAGTGATGTGGAGATATACCTGTCTTGTAAATATAGGTAAAGATATGAACACTTTAAAAAAAATATACAATGAAATCTTTGAACTGAAAGCAAAATTATCATTGCAGGTTTTCGGGTTTTCACCACAAGAGCAAATTATACAACTTTATTCTTGAAAATGTTAGAGACTGAGACTTGGAGTCAAAGTCAACAGACACGCTTGCATGGACATGAAGGATGTAAAGAACTAGAGTATTATAACTGAAAGCATTTTGTCTGGATTTGTGTATGGAAACAGAAGGATTTAGTATTGGTAAGTCAAGATAGCTGTAAAATCTCATTTTGAACTCTATATGTGAGCAGTACTGTAAACCAACTACCAGGTAGTACACATGTACCCTATTTGTGTCATCTTTTATTTGCATATCTAATCTGTGTTGATTAATTTCCGTGACTAATGAAAGGAAACATTCTCTACAAATATAAAGCAAAATTAATAGTTCAGGGCAATTAATAATTTACTATTCACTAGTAAATGTAGGTCATGAAACTGGCAAATATTTCTTGCACTCAAATAAAAGTTGGTTTACAGTACTTCCGTTGCTCTAAAAACAGAAATAATAAAAAAAAAAGCATGCTGATATCATGTATGTTATGAAGCCTAATACATGTACATAGAAGTATATAAACCGGTATATCTAAAATAAAAAAAAAAATTTGGTCCTTGTTCATGATTTCAAAGTAGGTTAAAAGCCTCATGAACATGCTGAGAAGTTGTCAGAAAATATACATGTGTGCTAACCATGCTAACTGTGTAACAATAATCAGAAAATTTTACAAAATATAATCAAAATTTGGTTAATAATAATTAGTCATTGGCCAATTAAATCCATCAATGATTAAATTAGTACTTATATATACTGTCTCCTGATTTTATGACTTTTTATCCTTTTCAACATACTTATTATTTTTGAATTGAAAACATTTTTTTTACCTGAGAAAATTAAAATTTGCAATTTGTTTTAAATCTAGTGAAGGAAAACAAATGTTTTTAAAATTAATGTGCTTTGATTTAAAAGACTTGTAAACATTAGATTAGTAATACATGTAGTTTCAATACAATTATTAATATTGATGATTGATTTTTTTTAAGATTTGATAGTTATTTTATTTGTTGAAAAATAATTTTTATCTGTAATGTTCATGTATAATAAAATAATGCATTTCCCAATAAGTGATAAATGTTTCCCACAAGTCAGCAATATACACTGAAGTGTACATTTATTGGTTGGGTTCAAAGGCAACATTTATATGGAAACAAAGTTTTAAGGGTAAAGCAATGGTCAATACATGTGTATTCCTCACAAGTGAACAGTGAGAAATATTCCCCACAAGTCAGAAGTGATAAATATTACCTAAAATTGTTAACTGTGAGAAATATTCCCCACAAGTCAGCAATGATAAATATAACCTACGTGAGAAATATTCCCCACAAGTCAGCAGTGATAAATATTCCCCACAAGTCACCAATGAAAAGTATTACAAGTTAACAGTGAGAAATATTCCCCACAAGTCAGCAGTGATAAATATTCCCCACAAGTCAGCAATGAAAAATATTACAAGTTAACAGTGAGAAATATTCCCCACAAGTCAGCAGTGAGAAATATTCCCCACAAATCAGCAATGAAAAGTATTACAAGTTAACAGTGAGAAATATTCCCCACAAGTCAGCAATGATAAGTATTACCTACAAGTCAACTGTGAGGAATATTCAATAATAGGGGTGGGACGATATACCGATACACCGATACATATCGATATTTTCCCCAAAGATACGGTTTACGATACAAGCATTCAAATATCGGTACGAAACGATACACGAACGACCTATCCAAAAATTGAAAATGAAAGTATCTGTTCGTGAAAATGGCGGCCTGTACGAAGCGAAGAGATGGTGTTGATATTTAAAACACACTTTAGAACTAATAAGCCGTTGATTAGGGGAAATACATTTTCACTTTTAAGCAGCCTCGGAAGATTGGACAAGAAAAGTTTCAGTGTGCAAAGCGTGCTATACACACAAAAGTATCGTTTTGGACTTTCCAGAACATTTGATACTATTAATTGTTAGTCCATTCATACTTTTTTTTGAAATCTCAACTTGGCTACAGACTTTCAGCAATTAATGATAATGTAAATGTGATTTTTTTTTTAAATGAATTTTTATTCAGTATTCCTTGATAAACTAAAGAATTATTTGTAAACAACTTGTTAATAGAAATTTGGTAATATGTACAATTGTCCTGTACTATTGTTTTTGTAAAGTTTTAGTCAATGAAGTTGATGAACTTCAAGTATTAATTTC